TCTTGTTGGAAAGTTGGATCTGCCAGGGTGTCAAGATAGGGTAAAAGATGGGGTTCTAGAACTTCGTGGATATAACGCTGCGCGTTCATGTTACCTCTGATGAAGATTAAAGGTGACCTGGAACCATAAGCTATAGCACCCCAAACCATAACTCCAACAGTGTGATGAACATGTCATTCAACAAAAAACTGTCACCACGTCGCCTTCTAACCCTGGCACGACCATCGTGAATGCCTAAACAAAATCTAGACTCGTCACTAAAGACAATACTGTTCCATTCCTGATCCCAGAGTGACCGTTGTCTGCATCACTCAAGGCGATTACGTCGGTGTTCTCGAGTTAAAGGGAGGACCCAGTGTGGCCGGTATGAAAACAAGCCAAAACTTCTCATTCGTCGGTAAACACTTCGCATGCCAATAGGTCTTCCGTGTTCTGCAAACCATTCATTTGCAAAGGACCTGGTAGTGGAGAAACGGTCCCTTAAGGCCAATAATCTTAGGCGGCGATCTTCACGGTCTGTTGTTCTACGGCGGCGTCCAGTGCCCCTTGCTCTTTGCGTACGGCCTTCTCGAAGCCATGCCTGACAACACCTAACCACAGTGTCTACACTTCTTTTCACTCTAACTGCAATTGCCCGAAAAGAAAGTCCAGCTTCCCGAAGTCCCACTATACGGCCCCTATCAAACTCACTAAGTTGACGAAATCGTACAGGTCTCCGTACTCTAGGCATCGTAACCGATCGTAAAGGATGTCAAGAACCAAAATCCGCCAACCTTGATTCTTTACTGCGGCTGGAATATTCATTTTTAGAGCGTTAGTGAATTAAAAAAAAAGCAGTATAAAAATCGGAATGTCCAACTGATAAGACTGAAAATTTTTTCACTTGTTATTTACAGTAAGATAAATACATTCACCAATTTTTTTAAAATAAAACCATTTAAACTGGGTGTTCGGATTTATATGCCACTTAGTATAAGAGCTAGCGAATATTGTAGTAAGAGTTTGGTTTTCCAGAAACCAGCCATTATTTTGTAAGACAGCGAAAAACCCAAAAAACCTCTTTTTTGCTGAAACGGCTCAGGATATCTGGGATTCTTTTATACGCAAAATTTTTTAGCCTTTGTGCCATCATAATAGGTCTCTGCAATTTTTTTCCTAAATTGCATAGTTTTCGCGCAACTGCTTGCTGATTGCTTGAGGCGAGGGGCTTGCGGGTTGCGGGGTCAAGAACCAACACATATCACCAGGCGCAGCATCGTTGACGCGGACGATCCTCCTTTAATATTTAGACATCCACAGTGTCTCGCTCTCTGTGATAGGTCAGTCGATTCCGGATAATAAGCTCTTTTGTAGTTGTGGCGTTCACCGACATATGCATATTAACGAATTTTTGAAATTTATGCGTTTAAGTAGAGTACAAGGTGCAGGAATTTCTCTTCAGCCGCTTACCGATTGACTGGATAAGTGAGGTATAGTATTTTCATTTAGAATTGGAACAACAAAAACAAATCTAGAGCTGCAAAAAAGGTGTGAACGTGTATATAAATTAGTGGCAATGATAAGAATACATTACAGGATGTAGAAGCCCAATGAGTCATCAAAAGACTCGTTATTTTCATAGTCATTCTCTCAAATCAGTTTGATCACCGGTAGTTCTTGATCTACGACCATGATAGAGACTTAGCAGCTCTTGAGCCGCTAACATTCGCCAACGCAAATATGTGAAGAATAGACGGTGGCAGATTATGATGAGCATTTGGCGATGTCTTCTCTGCACACTCGCTGTGGAATCCAATAATAATGCTCATTGGTCTAGTCCTGGTCTCAATGTATCGGTGTTCGGTTAGCTTGACGTGTAGACACGGCAGTATGCTCTGCTGTACAAACTACTCAAAATAAAATTTTGTATCTGTTATGTAAAATATACGTAACATTAAATAAACAGGTGTCTGACCAACAAGTTCCCGCATTGGGAATAAGTCGGATGAAATAAAAAAAGTGAAAAATAATAAAAAAAGTTTTTTACATAAAATAGTACAATAAGCGAGTTCGTTTATTAATTATAACATAAACGTATGTTCTACAATAATTTCAGTTCTTCGTAGATTTCTTGATTCATAATAAAACGAACATATGCCAATAATAATGCTGCATTATCAGGTAAAGTTGACTCGTCCAGTTGTATAGAGAAATGGGTCGTTTGCAAATAATTACATAAGAAGCTTTCAATATCAGAACTCATTTCATCAATACGACTTTCAGCAGTATTGTTGCTTAAGGAAATTCTTTTAATGATATCAGATGCAGGTTTGTAAAACAGTTTTTAAAACCTCTTCAACGGCTGGCAAAATTAACTTCTCTCCGATAGTATGCGGTTTTCCGGATTTTGCTATAAGTAACGAGATATTTTTTAAGACGCCCGCAAACCATCATCATTTCTTTGTGACGTCGAAGCGAACATTCTGTCCAGTGTAGGTCTCTTCTGAAATTTATCTTTGAGTGTTTGAAAGTATTTCAAATCTTTCTCTGTTTTATCAGGGTGCCATCTTCTCAGATGATCTTGCAGTTTAGATGGTTTCATAGCGTCATTGCCCAAAACTTTGTTGCATAAAAGGCACATAGGCGATTGTTTGTCCTGCAATGATGGAATGAAGCCAAATTTCAAATAATCAACACTGTACTGTCTACATTTCTTTTTAGATTCGGACATGGCATCAGTCATCTGTGGGCAGAATTAAATTATTTAAATAAGACAGACAACCCAGCAGCTGTATATTAAAAACATTTTTTGATTTTTCCGAAAACATTCCATAATTCGAACATCTTCTTGCAACAATTAGCTCGAATTACGGAGATTGCACTGTAATTATATTACCGATTGCTAAAACTTTCAAAAAGAAGCTATTGAGGAGTACTCGTGTAATTTTGCATGATTGAATATTTAACTACTAATAACTAAAGTCATGATTGGCGTAATTTATCTATCTTTGCTAACTACGAGTACAAAACTAAAATATAATAAACAATAATGTACTTACTTTTCTCCAGCACTCTCAAACAAAATAACACTGACTCACTATAATTTGTGTGACATACTATCTGTTTTTACTTTTTAAAATATTTTCCTAGCACTTTCCTTTTCAAGATTCAGGAAAAGAATAAACGTATTTGTCCCACATTCGTATTTATAGAGTGACGAATTGAACAAGTCAGTGCAAGGTAGCGAAGCTCTGAGACTGCGACTCTCAGGTTTTTACAAGTTCAAAATGTATTGCGACCACAAAGCGAATACCAAGATCCTACAACTTACACAATTTTATAAACATATATAATAATTTTTTTACTTCATAGGTACTTTTATAAATAATGTATATGTTTTGATATTATAACATAGTATGATGTAAGTAAATAGGTACTATCAGTATATGTGTTGAGATCCACTATTGTGGACCCCCATGTTCATTTCATGGACCCCCAAATTTTTTTTCGCTGACGTAGACCCCTTGCAGATTGTCATAGACCCCTAGGGGTCGATATAGACCACTTTGGGAATGAATGGTGTATACATTTCAGAGTTGAGTTAATTGAACAGAAACATAATAATTAAAAAATTGTCATCTTATCAAAATCGAAAATACACAAAATTGAAGCATCTTCCGATAAATGGTTTGTCCATAATTTCTTGTCTCCAATGAAATATACGGAAAAAATATCTAACTTTAATTCTAATATGTACACACACTTACCTCATTTATCCAGTCCATCGACAAGCAACTAAAGAGAAATTACTCCATTTACTTAAGCGCATTAACATCGAAAATCATTTCATTCGGAAAAGTCGGTGAACGCCAAACTGACAAGCGAGCTCAAGGTTAAAAATCCAACTGGACTATCATTGAATAACGCATGGATGGCAGGGCTGCCAGGCGTGGCGATCTTTCGCCAAAGTAGCGATTTGTCAACTTCAAATGGCGACGGTCGCCAATTTTCTTCCCTTGTAACCAAAATATGCTTCGACCTTGATGAAGTGATACATCAAATACCGTTTTATTGGGTTCAATGTTTAACGTTTACTTTGTCCGCTTTGAAAGCCTTTGATGATCAAAAATTTCATAATTTAATGAACAAACGGGGGAAATGGAAGAAAAGAACGAACGAGTATAAAACAAACTCCAGTCAGTCACTGTTACCAGAGATTCATTTCATGACACACAATGGTATAATTTCGTCAACTATTATCTAATTTTAGATCCGAAATCTGACAACCAACAAGCTCTGTGACATTTATCAAAACTCCGTTCATCGATTTGATCGCTTTTAAAAAGCGCTCATAGTGATCGCGATATTTTGATGATATTTGTTTATTCTTATGAAGTCCGTATTAAGTACAAATATATCTGACTGACATTCGCTAGATGGCGACGTCTTTGCGTACCTAGCACTGGAAGGTTTGTCAAATTGAATGTTCTTATATTTATTTAGTTAGAACAAGCTAAGAATAGAGGCGATCCAAAGAGCGCGGACGCTACAATTGTAGGACGCCTTTATGCCCTACTTGATTTTCATAGCATTTTCTCTCCTTGAGAAAGGCAGAGGTATTTCTAGATTTCTACTGCTCCGTGTCAGCGCTCTATTTTGAGGTTATATCTTTTTCCTTTGAATCCTAAGAAATTCCAGGCATATGAAACTTGATCCTTATCATCTGTTTTCTGGATTTCTTGAGATTCAAAGTGGAAACATAACCTCTCAATAGGAGAGCGCTGAGGCTGACACGGATCAGTAGAAATCTAGAAATACCCCAGCCGTTCTGAAGAAGAGTAAAGAGTATGAACATCCAGAAGGCCATAAATGCGTCCTACGATTGTAGGGACGACTGACAATACGGCCCTAAGCCAAAATAAATTAAAAACGCAACGGTAGCCACAATCAACAATAAGGTGTGGATGTGCCTTAAGCTAAAACCAACTTTTGATTTGTGTCAAGCTGAGTGAGTGGCTTATGTCAAATTCATTTATCTTAAGTAAAACGTTCGCATAACTTTGGTTCGGTTCCGATTTCTCAATGGCGTACCTCCGTTTGTTTTTTACAGGCCTCAAGCTGAGAGGCCTTGAGAAGATAGCGATCGAAGAGAAAAAAGATGCTCTACAAATACACAGAAAGAACACAACTGGAACACGATTTCGATTCAGACACTGCCCTGCATACGTACAACAGAAATGTCTGAAACTGAATTCGAAGCTTCTCCAAACATGTGGATTACGTAAATTTTGGTTCAAGCTACGATACAATGGCAGCTGCGAAAACTACGTCCTCAAAAGCATTGTAGGAGTTTTTTGTGGTTTCTTCCTGACCTATATTTTCTTCCTGTTTTCTGTGTTTCAACTAAATTTTTCTATAACTACAGCAACTATATTCTGCATGGTTCTAGGATGTATCCTTATAATAGGACTAGCCTTCAGCTCAAGAGTTAGATGCATAACGCTGTTGACTGTACCACAATTTTTTTCAGAAAAAGGTAGACAAGCTTTGCTGGCTTATGCTTTCATGCTGACACTAACAGGTCCTGCAAGAAATATCGCAAACAACATGGGAATCTTAAGCGAATCTTTGGCCTGTGGTCAGGAACAACTCAAAGCTGCAGTCAGGCAAATAATTGATGCTGTTAAAAAACCTTTCCTAGCGATACGAGATGCGATCAAAACGATTATAAAAACAGCCAAAGAGATCATAAAGAAGATAAAAGAATTGCTACTGAAGATTAAAAGAATCATAATGGCGATAGTGAGAGTCATCAAAGCAGCGTTTGAGTTCCTGGCCAAGATCATCAATTTGTGTAACAAGGAGCTGGGAACGCCTTTCGAAAGGTGTGCAAGGGTATTTGAAGACGCGATTGCAGATTGTAATGCAAAAATGGGTCCGATGTTCAGTTGGTTATGTTCAATTGTTTATATTGTTAAGAGTGTATGTTACGTAGTGAAGGTTTTCGATCTTGTCTGTATGGTTGTAGACTTCATCAGCAATTCTATAATAGGAGTAGTTATAAGGAAAGTAAAAATATTCGTTAGGCATATCAAGGTGATGTTTTATATCCGTATTCGGTTTTCGCATTCGTACAAGTACCAAATGAACGCTTCTAAAACTATGTCCGATGTGTCCAGAGATATTATGGCTGAAGTGAAACATAGGACTGAAACGTTTAGAGCAATAGTGAAGTTCCTGACATCAGCTGCTGCGTTGTTTTTCATGTTCATTGTTTTCAAGGTAGTTTATTATAGGTATAGGTTCTTAACCAGTGATGCATTCGATAATAAGTACATTACGAAACAGTTCCGTGAAATTGATATGGCCAGAGCTAGATTGGGGAAGGAAACTGTGTTGCCACTTAGTAATAGAGAAAAGCAGGTAACGTATTTTGAATGTGTGGTTGATAATTTTAAAATAAGGCAACTGTAGAGGTACTCAATCAAGATTCAGATGAACTAGCTTACTCATGTTTTCATAAGTAATATCATAGGGACATCTAATTTTTCGAAAAAATCAGAAAAACACGTTGCTTAGTAGTATTTTAACAAGGCATGAGTGCTGGTGGCAACCAAAATCCGAGTCGAAGACAAGGATTTTACACTTGCACGAATGACTTTTGTTAAAAAAATATTACTTTGCGTTGTGTTTTTTCGACTTTCCACAGGAAAAAATTAGATGCCTGGACGGTATTTGAAAAGACTATTTCAGGAGTACACAAATTATTCTGCGACTCTTAGAAACAATATTACAAAATTTATTGACAATAAAATCAGAAGAATTGTTTAGCGTCATTTTCTGGTGTCCTAGGAGACCATAATTACTTGCTATCAAAACTAATTTTTGGTGACAACAGTTGTCAAATTTTGCCGCGAGTAAACTAGGAAAAACTGCTGACAGGTGCTGTCATACAATTTTTCCATCTAGAAATCAGTTGTAATTCAAAATTGCGCGTTTGTGATTGGTACAAATTAAGATGAGCGAGATCGGCAAAAAATCAATCATCGCTTGCATACGTAGTAAAAAAATATTACTGGTCTCAACTATACTAAGTGACATATACATCCGAACACCCAGTTTAAATGGTTTTATTTTAATAAAAGTTGGTGAATGTATTTATCTTACTGTAAATAACAAGTGAAAAAATGTTCAGCCTTATCAGTTGAACATTCCGGTTTTTATACTGCTTTTTTTTAATTCACTAACGCTCTAAAAATGAGTATTTCAGCCGCAGTAAAGAATCAACGTTGGCGGATTTTGGTTCTTGACATCCTTTACGATCGGTTACGATGCCTACAGTACGGAGACCTGTACGATTTCGTCAACTTAGTGAGTTTGATAGGGGCCGTATAGTGGGACTTCGGGAAGCTGGACCTTCTTTTCGGGCAATTGCAGTTAGAGTGCAAAGAAGTGTAGACACTGTAGTTAGGTGTTGTCAGGCATGGCTTCGAGAAGGCCGTACGCAAAGAGCAAGGGGCACTGGACGCCGCCGTAGAACAACGGACCGTGAAGATCGCCGCCTAAGATTATTGGCCTTAAGGGACCGTTTCTCCACTACCAGGTCAATTGCAAATGAATGGTTTGCAGAACACGGAAGACCTATTGGCATGCGAAGTATTTACCGACGAATGAGAAGTTTTGGCTTGTTTTCATACCGGCCACACTGGGTCCTCCCTGTAACTCGAGAACACCGACGTAATCGCCTTGAGTGGTGCAGACAACGGTCACTCTGGGATCAGGAATGGAACAGTACTGTCTTTAGTGACGGGTCTAGATTTTGTTTAGGTATACACGATGGTCGTGCCAGGGTTAGAAGGCGACGTGGTGAAAGAAGGAATCCACAGTTTTTTGTTGAAAGACATGTTCATCACACTGTTGGAGTTATGGTTTGGGGTGCTATAGCTTATGGTTCCAGGTCACCTTTAATCTTCATCAGAGGTAACATGAACGCGCAGCGTTATATCCACGAAGTTCTAGAACCCCATATTTTACCCTATCTTGACACCCTGGCAGATCCAACTTTCCAACAAGATAATGCCCGACCACATGTTGCAAGAGTCACAATAGACTTCTTTCAACATAATGATGTCACATTGTTACCATGGCCACCAAGATCTCCCGACTTATCCCCAACTGAGCACGTGTGGGATATGATGGGTAGGAGATTGCTCAATTTGCAACGTCCTTCTCAGACTCTAGAAGCACTTCGAGAGGAGTTGGTGGTTGCCTGGAATGAGATACCACAGGAGGACATTGACCACCTGATCAGAAGCATGCCTAGGCGCGTTGGAGAATGCGTAGCACATCAGGGTGCATCCATACATTATTAAAGGTCAAAGGGCTTTAAAGCAGTGCAATCATTTTGAAATTTTTATCATTTACTTATTATGCGTCATTAAGTACTTATACAAAATTTTGTTAAAATAAAACCATTTAAACTGGGTGTTCGGATTTATATGTCACTTAGTATATATGGTCATGTTGCAAGCTGGGATGACCATATTGATGCAGAAGTATTAATAATACTTTAGCGTAAGAACAGAAGTTGTGAATTTCAAAATGGCGTCTAAGCGCCACATAGTATTGCACATTCAGAAGACTTTTACACAAGAAAATATTTATATGCCATACTATAGCGTTGAGATGATTTGTTACTGAGCTTTGACAGCTCGGCATTCATTTAAAAAAAACAGCCTTCATATTATGTGGTTATAAAGTACACATAAGGAGCTACAAAATGAGGTATTGCGTGACCTATATTCCGACAAAACAAAAGTTCCAAAATGGCGACTGACCATCTTGAAATTTTCTTATATGTCAAATATGTTATTTATGCGTACTTTGCATCGTTTCAAATTTCAGCTTCTAAACTTGAGCTGGTAAAAAAGTAATTGAAAGTGACTTATTGAACAGGACTGTAAAGTAATTTAGTTTGCTTTCACCTGAGATCAGTTGGATGTTGACAATCTATATGGGCGCACAATATCTAGCATTGTGAGGGCGTCATCGAGTGAATCTACTCACGATTTTTAATCACTGCCGTGTTTATTCCAGGATTATGTCAGAATCGGCTCAAGCAGGCTAATAAAGACAGAAAGAAAGCATTTGGCAAAAGTGATGACAACATTGTTGAAGGCTACATTGAAACTATCCCTGTACATGGCGGCTGATTACTGCCTGTTCTACATCCTAGATTTGATAAGGTTTCATGGCAGGTTTCAGTCCAAGGTCAAAGCTCCGAATATGCCTACTGCTCACATCGCTGGAGAAGGTCTTATTGCAAGGCTATTGCGAGCTATTGTGAAGGCGTTCCAACCTTTGGGATTGGAGTTGGAAATAGACACGGTGCCATGCTTACCAACGCCTATACCACCAGATTATGATAGGTGAGTATTTGAACTGCTTGAGAGCGCTACTAGATAAGAGCTCATGATGAAGCGTTTACTGTTGAAGATGAAAGGAATCCAGTTCTCAGTATAAAGCAACCTGGATCGCGAAAAACACAGAGAAAGCGTTTTTTAACATTTCCAACAATTTATTGGACCGTAACAAAAAAAAGTCACAAATCAAACATTATTTCAATGACATGTATTTCCCATAGTTCTGAAACACCCTGTATATGTAATATAAGCTGCAAGCTGCGCGATGGTATTTGTACGATTTTGTCCGTCATTCTTGCCCCATTTCAAAGTCTTTCTGACGAGAACCCTGCAGGCAATACTACTATTGTCTAACCATATTAGCAACTTTTCCCGAAATAGTCCTAAAGTCTGTTCTTCTTTGCTAGTTGTTCAAGAGGATATTTGAAGTATGGACGCATTAAATGGGTACATCAATTTTTGTGGTGAAAATTTTTATTCGACAACACAGAATGAGAAAACGTGTTTTTTGGGACTTAATCGTGTTGACAGGAACGGAGAAACTCTTTTTAGGTATAATGAGACCACACGTAAAAAGATCCTAATAGCAAAAAGTTATGGCCGCAAACTGATTCAAAATGCAAGTTTTGGCACTTGTAATGCGACGATAGATAATTTCAAATCCGTAGGATTCGTACTTCTAAATAACTACAAATAAATTGTGAAGTACATTGGTTGAGCATTTTTTGAGAATTTCTAATTGTTTCTCCCAAAACACCTGTTTTCCAGCTAGTTTATTGAGCAATATACAGTGTTCGTTCAAAGGGCTTTTTATAGCAAAATTCACAAGTTTACCGAAAGATAAATATTACTTTTGTGCGAAAAACACATGGTTACGCTTTTTTCCTCTAAGCAAATTCAAACATTTCACATTTGTGAGTAGATGAACAGATGTGCTACGATTCTCGAAGAACACACGTTATTTTTTATCATTTTAAAGCAAAGCGGATGTGTATATCACCTTTTGTTGCGAATAAAAATTTTTTTTTTCATGATCCCTTCATACTTATATGTATAAATATACATATTCCGAGCTGACATTTGTATACGGTCACAGAGAGCCTTAAAGTTTATAAAAAAATTATTTCATACTGAAACGCACTGAACTGTCAATAAAGTTAGCACGCAAACTGAAGGCACAATTATGTTTCAAACTGTCATAGCCTAGTTAGTACGTAGCATGTGCTAAATTGCTACATTATTCATGTTTGCATATCAGATAAGTAGGTCACGAAATCCAGATTCTTTACGAAGGAGAAGCATTCATATAGTCCACGTTTGTTTTCGAAATCTCGTACTATTAAAACGACAAAATGTTGGAAAATAAACTTGAAAAAACGAAAAAAACAGTATACAAAAATCAACCAATACATTATTTAAAGTTTCAGCATTATATCTTGTGAAGTTTTTGAGATTATTTTAATTGCTTATAACAGATTTGATGTGCATCTAGTGTTCGCTTGACATATGTCAGTGTACATAGTGGTATAGAGGTCCAGTAAACCAAGAGGCGTCGTGGTGCAATGAAAAAGTGTAACGATTGCGGATCCACGAAGCTCCTTTTTTTTAATTCAATTTTATTTAAATTTGGTGAAATAAATGCTTGATCACATTATGTTAACTTTTATTGTGATCAAACATTTTTTCGCACGCCATGGAAAATGTATGCCAGCCAGCAAGAAACCAGCGCTTTACGTATGATTTACAATATTTTGATAAAATTTCAGAAACACTTTATTGGATCATAGCAGATAGTTTTTGCAAACATATATTTTAGATGTGTAAATTATTAAACAACAATAATGAAATACCTCCAAAATTGTTACTGCGATGATACGCTCAAGTTTTGCCAAATTTAGAGGCTCCACAATGCATATCTCTTAGTACTACACATTCTCACTAAAAATCTCAAAATACTATTAGGCTTCCTCGGATTCCTACGTATAAACCTAAAATCACTCCACTCCATACTCTTTATTTAAACTATTTTTTTTTTCAGATATATACAGATCGCAACAACTCTTCTCCTCTGCTGGGTGCTGACCATCCTCCAACCGTACGGTTTGAGACTCAGATTTGTCGTGATGTGCTACTACCATCCACTGCGAGCTAAGCAGAAAGCCATTTGGCTGTACAATCACATGATCAGAAGGAGAAATACGTTCCTCAAGTTCATCAGGAGACAACTGAAGAGAAAGTTTTTTGGCAGTAAAGACGTCGAAAAAGTGACTTGCAAAGAGTACTTGGCAGCCAATTTCAAGTATTTGGCTGTGTGCTTAGGCGAAAAACAACAAGCATGCGTGGTGTGTGGAACAGTGTTCAGAGAATCTGATACCAAGAAGCCTATCAGGTCAGCATTTTGACAGTTTACACGATATCCGCATTTTCGTCACAGTTCATAAGCTTCTCAAGATAAGAACAAGCATTTAGGCATATAAAAATGAAAAGTTATGCCTCTTGTAAGGAAATTTCTAGAGGAACTGTTTATTTTTGTAACGTCTGCAGTAAGAAAGTCAACGATGACGTTGAAGGGGACAAAATAGCGTTAATCTCATTTTTATCTCGTTGTTGTATCTCCAAAGATAACTATTAGCCCGTTAAGTTTTGCCTTATTTGGGTTACGCGATAGTAAAACATTTTTGAATTTTGATATTACAAATACCGATAATTGACGAATATTTTCCCCAGTTTTTTTCTCTGGGCGTTATGAGGCATTTTAAAATTTCATTTTGGCAGCATGGTGACCAATGTTAATGATGATATAACAAACCTAACTAGGTCAGATATCGCTCAAGCAATTTACGATGCTTTCTAAGGCAGCAGTTTTGAATGTTTACCTGGATACTGATGTATTCTGGTCAGTTGATTATATATATATATATATATATATATATATATATATATACAACCAGTATTATCGTGTATTTGGACTACAATAATACAGTGGATCTGTTCCTGAGTACCATTTTTTTATATCTCGTCTCATATTACTTGTATCGATAGTCATCTTCAATATTTTATAATGCTGCTATACAGGGTGCTCATTTAAAAACTTCTCACGACGGATTTATCGAAAACCAGTGAGAGAAAAAACGCAGAGATACGTCAACAGATCTGTCCAAAAACAACTAAATCCCTTTTCACCCTCGGCTCACAGGGTCTTCCCTTAACTTTTTTATGACAAGGGGTATCGAGTGACAGGTTGTTTAAAAGGTCGTCTGACGTCTTTTATTTTGAAGTTTGATTTTTCAAAATCGGTCCATTGGTTTTCAAGAAAATTAGATAAGTCTTTATTTATCTTAATTTGTTCAGTTAGAAAACAAAAACACGAAAATATTACTGTTTATTTCAATAAGTGCTCAAAATGTTGTCCGTTACGGCTTGAAAAATCTGCAGTTCACTTATAATTAAAAACGGAAACTACCAACATAAACAGCTATTCGGAAGATTAGACGTGGCAACAACCAAATAACAACCCGAATATTTTCGACACAGTTATCCTGGGCGAACTGTATTTATTGTTATACCTGTTTAGTTACTTGTTGCTCAGTATAACGTTTAACGGGGAAAATAGCTTCGTATAGGTATGTTTTGGTCATGGTTACTAAATTTAGTTAACCTGAATCTGTTGCAAATAAAAAACGTGATCATTGGGGAGTTTCGGATGAAGCCGCTCCAGTTGAAGTTTTGGGTCATTTAGGAATAAATCCTGATACTTCATTACCCAAATTTGTTGGTGCGACTTGTATTTCATTTGTATACAGTTGCTAAGCTCCATAAATGTCTTCCATTCAAAATGAAAATATTGCCAGAGTTAACCGACGATTATTTCGATGGGCAAGTTGAATTTTGTGAACAAATAACTGCAGCGATTAAGGGTATTTGTATAAAGAATATCTGCGTCAGTGCTGAATACATATTTTATCTAAATGAATTTGTTGATAACCATAAGGAATTGGAGCAATGAAAATCCTCATGCTTTTGTACAAGGACATACCCAGTACCCCAAAAAATTAATGTATGGACAGGCATTTCAGAAAACCATGTAATCGGGCCATTGTTTATTAATGCAAACTTGAATGGAGACATTTATTTGGATATGCTGGAAAATACCATCAATCCGATTATCACTGAAACCATTGAAAACCAAATCGATGAAGATGGAAGCCTTATACCTGATGAGGCCGAAATAATATTTCCAGCAACATGACGCTCCTCCTCACTATATTCTTCCGGTTCGGCAATGGCTAGACGGCGAGTTTTTAGATAAATGGATAAAGCGAAGAGGGCCTACATAATGGGCCAGCTAGATCACCGGATTTGACGCCATTAGACTTTTTCCTATGGGGTCCTTTGAAATCAATTGTGTTTACTCCCCAACCTGAAAGTTTGGATGAACTTCGTCAACGCGTCATCGAAGGCTGTCATGATATCCCACAACATGTTTTTGAAAACGTCCATCAGGAATTTGAACATCGCCTATATCATTATTTGGCCAATAACGGGCAACATTTTGAACACTCATTGAAATAAAAAGTGATATTTTCGTGAGTTTTCGTTTTCTGTCTGAACAAACTAAGGTAAATAAAGATTTTTCTAATTTCCTCGAAAACCAATGACTGATTTCAAGAAATCAAACGTCAGAGTAAAGGACTTCGAAGGACCTTTCAAACAAGCTATTGGTTGACACCCCTTGTCGTCTAAAATTTTTAAGCGGATGACCCTGCTGGCAGAGGGTGAAAGTGCCTGAGGTAGTTTTTGGTTAAACAGTTGTCCCCCTTGATAAATCTTTTGACGTGTTTGTTCTTTTTATCAGTGGTTCTTGATAAATCCATTGTGGGAAGTCTTCAAATGTAAATGTTGAGCTGTTCTCTTTTTGCATTAGGTGTGCAACCCCAGGATGTGCTGGGCTCTACTGCGAAGAATGTTATGTCAATATGAAAAATTTATGCACCGTTTGTCTATCACCCATAGACTACGGAGATATTTCTGATATTAACGAGGAGCAGGATTCGTCTGAAGATAGTACACAACCAGTTGTTAAGAAAAAGCGGATCAAGCGGAGGGCAAGAAATTGCCTTAGGAGGTAACATTAGAAAAAAGAAGTTACGTGCACAGCGGCGAATCGAACAATGCTCCAGCCAGATTTTGAGGGATTTACATGATGTTAACTGGTTGTGACAAAAAAAAATGAAAATTCTTAACTCTGCTTGAACAATGTCAAAACAATTGTAAAGTTTTATGTGCCTAGAACCATAGAAAAACCTATTTTAACATAAACGGGTTCAAGAACCTTGCGTGCTCTATAAAAGTCTCCATGGATGCAAAGCTCAAAAACCACGCTTAAACTTTTCTTATGACCTTGGAACCCTTCTTTGCATCTACTATAAATATACTAAGTGACATATAAATCCGAACACCCAAGTTTATTTTAATAAAAGTTGGTGAATGTATTTATCTTACTGTAAATAACAAGTGAAAAAATTTTCAGCCTTATCAGTTGGACATTCCGGTTTTTATACTGCTTTTTTTTAAATCACTAACGCTCTAAAAATGAATATTTCAGCCGCAGTAAAGAATCAACGTTGGCGGATTTTGGTTCTTGACATCCTTTACGATCGGTTACGATGCCTAGAGTACGGAGACCTGTACGATTTTGTCAACTTAGTGAGTTTGATAGGGGCCGTATAGTGGGACTTCGGGAAGCTGGACTTTCTTTTCGGGCAATTGCAGTTAGAGTGCAAAGAAGTGTAGACACTATGGTCATGCATGGCTTCGAGAAGGCCGTACGCAAAGAGCAAGGGGCACTGGACGCCGCCGTAGAACAACAGACCGTGAAGATCGCCGCCTAAGATTATTGGCCTTAAGGGACCGTTTCTCCACTACCAGGTCCATTGCAAATGAATGGTTTGCAGAACACGGAAGACCTATTGGCATGCGAAGTGTTTACCGACGAATGAGAAGTATTGGCTTGTTTTCATACCGGCCACACTGGGTCCTCCCTTTAACTCGAGAATACCGACGTAATCGCCTTGAGTGGTGCAGACAACGGTCACTCTGGGATCAGGAATGGGACAGTATTGTCTTTAGTGACGAGTCTCGATTTTGTTTAGACATGCACGATGGTCGTGCCAGGGTTAGAAGGCGTTGGTGAAAGGAGGAATCCACAATTTTTGTGTTGAAAGACATGTTCACACTGTTGGAGCTATGGTTTGGGGTGCTATAGCTTATGGTTCCAGGTCACCTTTAATCTTCATCAGAGGTAACATGAACGTGCAGCGTTATATCCACGAAGTTCTAGAACCCCATCTTTTACCCTATCTTGACACCCTGGCAGATCCAACTTTCCAACAAGATAATGCCCGACCACATGTTGCAAGAGTCACAATAGACTTCTTTCAACATAATGATGTCACATTGTTACCATGGCCACCAAGATCTCCCGACTTATCCCCAATTGAGCACGTGTGGGATATGATGGGTAGGAGATTGCTCAATTTGCAACGTCCTCCTCAGACTCTAGAAGCACTTCGAGAGGAGTTGGTGGTTGCCTGGAATGAGATACCACAGGAGGACATTGACCAGCTGATCAGAAGCATGCCTGGGCGCGTTGGAGAATGCGTAGCACATCAGGGTGCATCCACACATTACACTGGTCAACAAAATTTTAACTTTGTCGTGCCACACGGACTTTTTTGATATTTTTTACTTTAATTGGTGATTGTAAGAAAAAATAAACAGTTAAAAAGTTTGCTAGACAAGGATTTTATTCTATTGAGTAATTTAAAATATTAAGAAAAAACACAGATCTCGTAAATCAAAAGTTATTTTTTTTTATAAATGACTTAATAATCTAAGATTTTCTTGAATATTTAGCTTCTGGTTGGTCCCTTTTAATTGTCCAGCAGTAATCTGCTAACATATTTGGGCTCCATTTGCCCTGGTACCGCTTTTCCATATTAGAAATGTCCTGATGGAACCTCTCACCGTGCTCGTCGCTGACAGCCCCTAAATTGTCAGGAAAAAAATCCAGGTGTGAGTCTAAAAAATAGATCTTAAGTGACATGTTGCAACCCAATGCTTGATATGACAATAATAGCTCGCTAACCAACTCTCTGTAGCTGTCACTCTTGTGGTTACCCAAAAAATTTACAACAACATTTTTAAAAGCCTTCCATGCATATGTTTCTAAATCGCTTAATTTCTCTTCAAATCTTGAATCTTTTATTAACTCCCTAATTTGAGGGCCAACAAAAATACCCTCTTTTATCTTTGCATCACTTATTTTAGGGAATTTTTCTTTTAGATACAAAAATCCACTCCCATTGCGATCCATTGCCTTCACAAAATTTTTTATTAATCCTAATTTGATATGCAATGGTGGTAGAAGCACATTATTTGGCTGTACAAGGGGTAAATACTTTACGTTTTTTTTTCCCAGGAACTAACGATGCACGCGTAGGCCATGTTTTTTTTATATAGTGATTAGTTCTGTCTCGGCTATACCATTCACATAAAAAGCAGCAAAACTTTGTATAACCCAGCTGAAGTCCAAGTAATAGTTCAACAACTTTAAGATCACCGCAGATTTTGAAGGAATATGTACTGTAATTTATTTTTTCAAGTAAAAGTTTCATACATATTTTCATAGGTTTCTTTCATATTTGCAGCATGGGCCAGAGGTACAGACGGAAGCTTATTTCCGTTATGCAATAACACTGCTTTTAGACTTGCTTTCGAAGAATCAATGAATAAACGCCACTGAGAGAGATCAAAATCTATGTCCAACATTTTCATAATCTCATTTATGTTATTGCAAAACACCAAATCTCCATCCTGAGAAAAATACGTTCTGAAGTGTTGATCACGGTTTCGAAAATAGCTAACTTTTGTATTATGATGTAGCAAATTCCATTCTTTTAGACGTGATCCTAATAGTTCTGACTGCTTTTTTGACAAATTTAAATCCCGAACCAAATCATTTAGGTCTCCTTGAGTTATCAAATGTGGCTCGTTTACAATTCCTTTTAACTCAAAGTCATCGTCCTCGTCAACACATTCACCTGAAGTGGACGGTTGTGAATTGTTCTCAACAGACGTAGTTGCAACTGGTATTAGTTCTGGCAGTTTTTTACAATGAGAGACTGGTCTTATAGCCGAGCATAAGTTAGGGTAAATAACTGTGGTTTTTTCTTGTAATTTATACCTTTTATGTCTGTGAGACAAAAATAGCAATCTGAAACGTGATCTCGCTGTTCAGTCCATATCATGGGTACAGCAAACGGCATAGGTCGTGCACCTTTCTTCCAGTCAGTTAAATTTTTCACACACGTTATGCAACAGACATGAGGGGCCCAGGATTTTTCTTGATGGGCAACAGAAAAACCAAAATATTGGTGATAAAACTCCAACACAAGATTCGTAAAATTTCGTCGTTGTTTTTTGAATGTTAGTTCTCCGCAGACATAACAAAAAGAGTTAGGATCATTATTACACTTCCTCGACATATTCACAGGGTTAGTAAATCACAAAAAGTGTTCAAATTCAACAACAAATATTTTTATAAGGATTTACTTGTAAGCGTTTCTGTTAATTTACTGCCGTAGTACTAGTTATGAGTATTACCGTATCACAACAAATATGAGGCTAATAGACATATGACAGCTGTCATGTAATAATGAGGGTAGACTGATAAAACAAAATTAGCTGTCAAAGTTCGTGTGGCAAAACCAGTGTTGACCAGTGTTATTAAAGGTCAAAGGGCTTTAAAGCAGCGCAATCATTTTGAAATTTTTATCATTCACTTATTATGCTTCATTAAGTACTTATACAAAATTTTATTAAAATAAAACCATTTAAACTGGGTGTTCGGATTTATATGTCACTTAGTATATTTCGTCAGATGAACGATTTATTTAGCTATCGGTCGATATACCGCATGCCTTCTCTATTGTGGCTCAAACCATGTCACTTTTTTCAGGTGGTGCAGTTGCTGTCCTTGTTTCAGTATAGCTGATGAAGAGGATGGAGATATCAAGGTATCCAAGAAAAAATCGTATATATGGAGGTGGTTGGGAACTCGTAAGAACTCAAAGAAAAAATGCAAGATATGCAAGTGCTTCAAAAGAGATACTCCTAACACTTCAGATGACGATTCTGATATGTTACTGAAGCGGAAACCTGATTTAGATGATAGAGATGTTGAAGATCAGAAAATACATGGAAACGACTCTGACTACTACAGTAGCAGTGAACCTACTACTGACTATTCTTACTCTTATCAATACGAGAGGCGTTCTGATATTGTTTCACAAGACAACCAATCTGCGAGACTTCCTTTTAAAGATCTCGAAAAGCAAGAAATTCCGGATTATGTCAAAATTGACGATATAGAACTCACAGACGGGGACGCTGAAGAACACAAAACTTCAGAGGTGGAAAATGGAAAAACTGTATCACTACCGTCCTACCGCTCGATTGCCGAATTTGGTGTAGATTCAAGCGGTAAAAGTCAAGGAATGAAAAAAATGCAACCTTTGGAAGAGGGACCCCTGTATAAGGTTGCATCTACCAACTTCCCTGACGTCGTGTCTGATGGGATAGAAAGGATACCTGTGACGGACCCGCTTGGAAGAAGCATCGGTACCAGGATATCTGAAGATGCGTTGGAAGACATACCTCTAAATGAGGTCCCTACAAGAAGCGTTGGTACCAGGATATCTGGAAAATCCTTTCAGAGAGCAAGGCAGGGAAGACTTGTCTCGTTCCGATCTTTGTGGAGACAATCGTCGATCAGTAAGGAATCTGAGCCCCTTATAAGCCCCACATGTCTTTGTGAATCGAGCTCTGATGATGAATTTTGAATGGTGTATGTTGAAATTGTTAAAGAATACGAGGTTTGTTCAAAAATTATCGCAAATTTCATGTTTTCTCAGGAATTATTTATTTATTCCTGACTATCTATTTGTTCCCCTTCAAATTAATCCCATCAGACATTATATACTTGTGATAACGTTTTTTCCAATCCTCGAAGCATTTCGAAAAATCGTTTTTTGTGATCTTGATGCCGTCTTTATCTCTTCGATCGTGGCGGAGCGTCGTCATTTCATGGGCCTCTTCAGTTTCGAGAACAAGAAAAAATCACAGAGTGCCAGATCTGGAGAATACGGTGGGTGAGGCATTATTGGAGTGTTATTTTTGGCCAAAAATTCGCGCATGAGCAGGGGTGTTATCATCTTCCACAAATCCGGACGTTTCTGGCGGATTTCTTTTCGCAAATTGCGCATTACTTCAAGTTGTTTTTTTACACAAAGTTTAATACAAATCCTTTGATCCATTTTTAGGACAAGACAAAAATCGGAGACAAGCTAAAACACGTCCACGCACAATAGCTGTCAAACACTGACTGAACATGCTTAATGATCGATATTGTCAACATTAGTGGGGGTCACGATTACCAACATAACGCCACAAAAAGATCGAAAATCAAACACACGTAGGTCGCGAAAATTTAAAATTTGCGATACTTTCTGAACCAACCTCGTATACATGAAGTAACTCAATAAATGTTTAAACTTTCTGTGTTGATAACTTCACTGTCATTTATGACCGATTTCAACTTTCCCGACAATCTATAACTTGGTAAGTATTCGGTATCGGATTAAGTATATTTTTAGGTCGTCCGCAAGTATTTGGTATTCTCCTGTTAATATTTGGTTGATATCACTAACAAACATCAAAAATAGTAGGGAGCCGAAACTAGTATCTCGTGGCACTGCCGTTGCTGGTGTGTATGAATCTGATTTGAAGCGGTTATACTGCACAAATTGAACGCGGTCTGATAAATACGAACGGAAAAATATCAACAAGCCCTCAAAAAACTTATACATTTTTTTTTTTTAGCAAAATGGAGTGGTTTATTAGAACTTCGAGAGATCCGTTATATTAATAATGTCACATAAGTTAGTTGTCGATCTTTTGTTCCTTAACCCATGTTGTTTTCTCATAAGATGTTTCTTGCACTAGCATATACAGGGTGTTTCTTACTGATATGCGTATACTTAAGGGTATGAATCTACTAGGAAAATTAATGTTAGTTTGCTTTATAAACTATAGTCCAAAAATGTTTCCTTACAAAAACTCTGAAGCGGTTCTGAGAATATTAATAAATTTCCATTTTTTTCCTAAAACTTCAACATCCCGAGTTTTTATAAGGAAACATTTTTGGACCATAGTTTATAAAGCGAACTAACATTAATTTTTCATATAGATTCACACCCTTAAATATTCGCATCTCATCAAGGAACACCCTGTATTATACCTGTATATTCATAAAGCACCATCGCAAGTTTATAAAAAGCACATATAAGCGATTTCGTCATATAACTCTTTTCCGCACTTAAAAATACTATTATGGTGTACCTTGTAAACCTTCCAGCAGCCCGGAAAGATGTCATTTTGAAGCGACGTGCTGAAACTCTGGCATAGAGGCTTAACACAAGCTCTAATCCACTAGATGGCTTAGAATTAAGTTTGTTTCAGCCTTTTACTATACACTCTTGGCTAAAGACAGCGTCTGAGAGAGATTCAGAACTACATGTTTCTTGGTCCAAGACTCAAGTAACAAGTGTATTGATATGTACTACTGCACCAAGTCTAAAAAACTGTCTCGTTTTTTCAATCAGTCATCTGGCGACGGGGAAATAAGCCAAAAATGAAAAATTATAAATTGCCAAAACATCGTAGCTTGGGGTAATTTTTTGAAAAAAAAATCAGGGTGTGGGAGGATGTGGGAGGTGGGAGAGAGTAGGTTTACATATTTATATGCTGCCAACTACAATAATTCTACCCACCTATTAGCCACATCCTACATCATAGACTTCCTTGTGTTTAAATCTTAGAATTATTGAGAAATGTTTTTCGTTCTTGTCTCTTGCTGCTAGCTGAGCTCAGCGCCCGACGTGACGGTCTACTTAATTGCTCTGCTCTCACTAATCCGATGCCTCGGTGGGTGCGGTCGCATCTGACGGTATGTGAAGGGACAGCATTGGAAGGGAACTACTGGTAAGGCTATGGGCTAATTGTGTGGACGTGTTTCACCGACTTGACAGGTTCAGCTTCCCTATTGTATACTAAGTGACATATAAATCCGAACACCCAGTTTAAATGGTTTTATTTTAATAAAATTTTGTATTAGTACTTAATGAAGCATAATAAGTAAATGATAAAAATTTCAAAATGATTGCACTGCTTTAAAGCCCTTTGACCTTTAATAATGTGTGGATGCACCCTGATGTGCTACGCATTCTCCAACGCGCCTAGGCATGCTTCTGATCAGGTGGTCAATGTCCTCCTGTGGTATCTCATACCCGGCAACCACCAACTCCTCTCGAAGTGCTTCTAGAGTCTGAGGAGGACGTTGCAAATTGAGCAATCTCCTACCCATCATATCCCACACGTGCTCAATTGGGGATAAGTCGGGAGATCTTGGTGGCCATGGTAACAATGTGACATCATTATGTTGAAAGAAGTCTATTGTGACTCTTGCAACATGTGGTCGGGCATTATCTTGTTGGAAAGTTGGATCTGCCAGGGTGTCAAGACAGGGTAAAAGATGGGGTTCTAGAACTTCGTGGATATAACGCTCCGCGTTCATGTTATCTCTGAGGAAGATTAAAGGTGACCTGGAACCAAAAGCTATAGCACCCCAAACCGTAACTCCAACAGTGTGTTGAACATGTCTTTCAACAAAAAACTGTGGATTCCTCCTTTCACCACGTCGCCTTCTAACCCTGGCACGACCATCGTGCATGCCTAAACAAAATCGAGACTCATCACTAAAGATAATACTGTTCCATTCCTGATGCCAGAGTCACCGTTGTTAAAGGGAGGACCCAGTGTAGCCGGTATGAAAACAAGCCAAAACTTCTCATTCGTCGGTAAACACTTCGCATGCCAATAGGTCTTCCGTTTTCTGCAAACCATTAATTTGCAATGGACCTGGTAGTGGAGAAACGGTCCCTTAAGGCCAATAATCTTAGGCGGCGATCTTCACGGTCTGTTGTTCTACGGCGGCGTCCAGTGCCCCTTGCTCTTTGCGTACGGCCTTCTCGAAGCCATGCCTGACCACAGTGTCTACACTTCTTTGCACTCTAACTGCAATTGCCCGAAAAGAAAGTCCAGCTTCCCGAAGTCCCACTATACGGCCCCTATCAAACTCACTAAGTTGACGAAATCGTACAGGTCTCCGTACTCTAGGCATCGTAACCGATCGTAAAGGATGTTAAGAACCAAAATCCGCCAACGTTGATTCTTTACTGCGGCTGAAATATTCATTTTTAGAGCGTTAGTGAATTGAAAAAAAGCAGTATAAAAACCGGAATGTCCAACTGATAAGGCTGAAAATTTTTTCACTTGATATTTACGGTAAGATAAATACATTCACCAACTTTTATTAAAATGAAACCATTTAAACTGGGTGTTCGGATTTATATGTCACTTAGTATATATTTTCGTAACTAATCTTTCTCTGAGAGTCTTAAGAATACTCTATGAACTGGTAACGGTGCTTCGAAGGAATTGCAGTCAGGGGACGCACTGGCAGAGCTTCACTGACTTGACTGATGGCTACCTGGATGGGTAACATACAATTTTTAATAATCTTTATACAAAAGTACTCAAGGTATCATATTTTTTTCAAACTCCTCAACAAAAAATCTGTCAGAATTGATCGCGAAAACTGCTATAAAAGTTTTAACAACGTTAACGAACGCTTATAGAGTTTTATATTTCTAGCTTAACAAGGTATCTTCGAGAAAGTTTTCAAGTTCCGTTATACTTGGCAGTATCTATGAAGTACAATTAAGCTTATTAGTTTCCTTGACAACATACAGTTGCGAGTGATGATAAGTTGCTTAAGGATATCAATCGGTTGCGCTAAAAAACGCTTCACGTAGCATATCGGAGAACCAACTGAAACTGGAAAAAAACTCTCAAACGAAGATAATTTCCCAACACAATCAGCGTAATTTTATAATAGAGAAAATCGTTCAAAATGCGTATACAAAAATAATTGTTCAGGGTATATTCATTCCTATTCTCATTAAACGATCAAAAACATATGAATTTTCAAATATCTGCAGGGGAGTTATGTGAAAAATCTAGGAAACGTCAAAAAACCTACAAAATCTCGTCTTGCAGACTACGTAGTTTTCAGTGTGCAACCTCGAGTAAGTGTATTTGAGACAAGAAACTAATGAAATTATCATCAACACAGATTATTAGCACACAAGTTCTCACTATGCACCTATGCACTGCACTTTCCTTGCAGCTATAGTATAGAACAGCTTATGATGCCATCTGATGTTACGTCACATCAGAGCCAAGCGTTGATAGCTGAAGCATCATGATGTTTAGGCAAGACGTACAGCTACAAAACGAGTTTAACAAGTGTACAACAGCTAGTGCTAAGTTGACATCTTGTAAAAGAACCTACATTATGTCACAAAAAAAAACTATAAGTTCTCAAGAAAAATAACAAAATATCTCTTTTCAAGATACTTAATACCCCTGCCGTACACAACAATGGATAGTTTGAATTTAACTCACGGGATCGTCTATGAGAAATCCAAATAGCTACATGAAATTCAAAATATTCAATTTCGCCCTAAACAATGAAAATGCACTCCAGAATTTCAAGAACTTGGAAAGCCAAGATATTTACTTCTTCTGATAAATGCTCAAGGTAGACGATAATAGAAATTTTGCATGTGGAAAGTCTCAGTGTCACCTTGAATTTTGCTAATTATTTCGCCATTGATTCATCGAACATTCCATACGTCTCAGGCAGCAGCGGTGGGCACAG